AAAAAAAAAAAGAAAAGGAAGGAAAGAAAAAGTCGGTATTAGTTACATATACATTACTTAATATAAAGTTTATAAAAACAGATATACGTATAAAATTGTTGTCCATAGACACCTCGCTAGACTATATCATATCGAAAACGGTCGTGTTGGCAATTGGTAAAATTTTTTATACTGTAGAGTTTAAAACTACTTTGTCAAGTTTCTTTCTCGTATCACACAAATGATATACAAATATCCTACTTAATAATATATAGTTTACACTTTGTTATTTGCAAAAAGTTCTTTTCAAACTTGAGGTTGCATTTATGCTACACGGTATATCTTTTATGAATTTCTTCTGTTGAATTTGTAAGATCCTCTTTAAAATATATACGGAGTTTTAGCAGAAAACTAAGAGGGAATACAAAAGAATCGGCATCTTAATATTTTATCATTGGACAGCGTAAATTTCCAGAGTAAGCAAAATATAACATTTTCTTCTCTTTTTTCCCCCCTCTCTCTCTCTCTCTCTCTCTCTCGTAAAATATGTAAAAGTTCTTTAGATTTGCGTTTCGTCCTTGTTTTCTTTAACAAGAATACAAAATGATAACAAGTTCCAATGAACTTTTGTCGCACAGAGATCAAAGTGTAAAGAGATACAACTTCCACGATATATTTCTTTCAATATCGTTCGTATTGTAAAGCTTCAGACCACGTACCTCGTTACTCGTTAATCAACTTTATTACCCTGCAGAAAACTGAAAGACATTTTCGACGTATCATTCTCCTTCTTCTGTTGTAGCCGGTTTTTTAAACTTTGCAAATAAACTTTGCAGGTTCTTAAACCTCATTCAGGCGATTGCGACGGATTGTTATTTTCATTTCTCCGTTGCAATCGTTCTGGATGGGAGCAAGCTAACTGGCTAAAATCGCGAACGACGTCGTTGAAAGTTTCATCACCGCTAATTCCGATCTCCGAGTCTTTCATCTCTTCGTTTAAAAGGCCAAGTCTTAATCTGAAACGTATATAAAATAAACGACGATAAATAAACGACGAACTTCGTCTTGGTACGATATACGAATCTGCTTTATACTTACAACGTTACAATGTCGGCATTAGCTTCCTTCACAGCTATGGACAAAGGCTTTACACCACTTTCATCCTTGATATGCTGATCAGCTCGATGTTTCAGTAACAAACATACTTGGGCGGTATGTCCTAGATATTTCATATAAATAACCAAACTTACGGTCAATTTCTTCGAACGAATTACGATCAGATATATTTACGGCAAATGGAAGAACATGTATACCTAATTCTGTAGCCAAGTATAATGGGGTTTTCCCATCAGCGTCTTGGCTGTTGATTCGTGCTCCATTTAGAATCAGATATTCACAAGACATCACGGAACCCTGAAGTTCAACAAAACTACCATTGCCAAAGGATTTAGACGACAGTTTTTTATACTTACACTTATAATTGCCTGATGCAGGGCGTTCCTTCCTCTATCGTTGACATTCGTCCATAATTTATCAGCACCGGCTGCCAAAGCTGCACACATCACAGGAAGATTGTGTGCAGCGGCAGCTTTGTAAAGCAGCATCTCAGGATGTAGATTCTCGATATCCTCCTCGTCCGTGAATTCTTCGTCCTCGCCAGCAGTCGAATCTTGATCGGAACTTAACTCTAAGCTATTATCGATCGTTGGCTTTGGCAAATCGCATCCGAACATCAATACGTCGGATTCTACTTTACACTGTCTCTCCGTCTCAGCGTCTTTATTATCGAACGTGTCTTTCACATCGGAAACCTCTGTGCTCAAGGACACTTCGCTTCTTATCGACAGGCTGTTCTCGGAGTTGCTCGTGGCGATCGTATCGTCCTTAATTTCAGGAATAAGACGTTCGTTATGTTCGTTCTCGGCGTTCGCCTGCGTGTCGTTATCGACAGTTTTCGAGTTACTTTCGTTCATGTCGTTACGCGGCCGTGCTAGAATTTTCCCATACAACGTGGAGTCGTTCTTTAAATCCGTATTCGTGCTGTCGTCCGAGCTCAAAGAATTTCTCTCAATCTTTTTTGCCTTATCCACGGAACTTAAACTTTCGATCGATGTACGCTTGCTGTCGTCGGAACTCGTCAAACGATTACCCTCCTTCACAGATGATAACGTCGTTATTTTGTTACGACTGCTGCTGTCGATTTTATCGCAACTTCGTGGCCGGCGACGCAACTTGCGGACACTCCATTTGCGAAAATGCATCTTATCGCGACTTGCGTGTTGCCCGGATGAAATCATGTTGCTTAAAGGCTTCACGAATTTGCGCTCTACGTATTTCGCTCTTATCCAAGCTTCGCGTATATTGCTGCCAATTTAGAAGAAAAATTCAGTCATACGCTTTCAGCAACTCCCTTTTTGGGAAAGGACAATGAGCATCATTTTTTAATGATTAATGTTACGTACCCATTGCATTTCGGCGTAGCCCTGATAATATCAGGAGAGATTGGTAAAGCTTCGTAAACATTGTTCACTACAGTGTTTCCAAGCTCTGCCATTACTTTTAGTATCTCTGGTTCCCAGTCGTCCAATGTCAACGAACGAACTTTGCTGTAATGGACACCTAAACTTCTGTGCACTCCAGAGCACTCTGAAAAGGAAGAGAATTTTGAAAAGGGATCTGATTTGTTCGCAATTGTGAAGAAATGGCTTACCTATGCAAAGTGTAATTCCAAGATTGATACTGGCCCACCGTGGATTAGCACCACCACAATCGCAGCAAGTGTCATTTCCAGCGATCTTCAAGATTTGTTCCCAGACTCTGTAGGAAATGAAACAAATGGATTTATTTTTCAATTCAATCGAAATTAAATCAGCGGTTCGTTTCGACAAATACCTAGACTTGGGTTTTGTCTGTTGTCTGTTCAATCCTCTAACATTCTGTGATTGTGATTCCCGTACATTAACTATAGTACCAGCACCCATGCCTCGTTGAATAGCAGCACCAATTGCTTGTTGCATGGCAGTTACCCATGCTAAATAAGCTTCTTCGCTATCGGCTTGTAATATGTGACTCCTATAAGTTAAATAGTAGATACGTAAATAAAAAGCCTTATCACTATACAATCTATCTAGTAAATTTTACTCAAGAAGTGGAGATAGCTCAGTTGGTAGAGCATCAGACTCTTAATCTGAAGGTCCAGGGTTCGAATCCCCCTATTCGGGCGGAAAAAAAGATATTGTCCTTTAGAAACAGCACGAGAAAAGCTCTGTGTGTGTATAAAAAGGTCCGAGACTCTCCCAACGTGTTTTAGTCGGTAAAAATCCGACAGTGTCTTATCGAAGATTTCCTCTACGTAAAAAAAAAAAAAGTAAATTTTACTCACTTGGTAGGACTTAATACTTCAAAACAATTTCTTCTATCACAGTCAACCACTGGTTTCACAGTGCAGAGACGAAGATCTTCTTCCATAATAGTGTAATCATTATCACCGGTCCTCTTTCTGTATACCAGCTGGTGATCTCTTAAACAAAACCACCGTCTATTCCACGTTTTAAATGCGTTACTAGTACGTTTGAAGAGGTACCCTTCCATCTTTGGATTGCCGGGTATCGGCGAAGGTATTAAATCTCTGTTCGTAACGTAGATATGCCGGTTTTCCATTTCTTTCTCGAGTTTCACGGAATCAGCTCTCATTTTAATTAAGTTCTCGCCGAGATCTTTCAAAAATGGGTCTAAATCTTGCGCTAGATCGGTGCCTTGGTGGTAATAAGTGATGCACGCGTTCATGTAATTAAGTAGGGTGCCTAGTATTTCGTGTCGTTTGCGTGCCTGTATCATCGTTAGAGAATGAATATAATCCAAAGCGGTGTGCCGGAAACAGGATCTGGTGGCCGACAAAATGTTCGAAGTTTCTTCATACTCTGTAGGCCTAGACTTTGGAACTTGAGAATTCCGGTTCAACGCTATATCCAAGTCCGCAGAAATTTTTTCGAAGTAATGACGAGATTCTTTTACCCTCTTGATATCACTGTTAAATAATATCGTTGTGTACATATATGTATGCAAATAAACTTTTTTTCATATTCATTTGAATTACCTTTTAATAAATGAGTTAAGATCTTTAATTACAGTTCTAGATGCTTGATCTAATAAAATGGTATGGAACTTATTCATTTCTTGTAAAGCATGGATTAGTTTGTTTAGCAAGGCCATTATCTCTGAATCATCAGCAAAGTACAGAGATAACTCCCAGAGACTATTGGAAAATTGGCTGAAAATAAAGAAAAAAGATTATACATACATGTACAGTAATTTTTTAATATTTCTAAATAAGTAATCTTAAAAAGAAAAAGAAAAAAATTATAAATAATATAGACATTTTATAAATTACACACTAGCAGTGAGGATAATTTATTGGATTAAAAATTATATAAAATAATACAAAAATGTTTGGGTTTTTTTTAAATATCTTTTATTTGCGCACAAGTGTGTGAAATTAGTGAAAAATGAGTAACGCACGCAATAGCAAGTGCATCATTCACATATCAAACTAGCTACCATATGTATGAGTCACTCTTAACAGAGCTGTAATTCATATGTTCCTCTCTATTGCTTGGTATATCTCCCTCTTTCATTTTATCATTAAACATATATACATATTTGATTTGAAAACAATCAGTAACTTCTCAACCATACATTTCATTGGATCAATCAAATATTTATGGCTTTGTCAACTATTCCTATCACAGTGTGCATGCTTTCACTTTTTTATGGAAACTCTTCTTATTTCTCTACTAATTACATGCAACAAGTTACATGATTCGTGACATACCTCTGCTGTCCTACAAAAAGTTTCCCAGTATCAATCATTTGGCTACAGTTTTTCAACACCTGTAAAGAATTCTATTTTCAGCTAGTTCGGAAACATAGATGACTATCATAATAATTCTTTTGAGATTAACTTATGTAACACAGTCTGTTACAAAGAATGTAACTGGCGCTATAAGAAACTGCAACTAGTTTGACAGTATTTATTGCATTTAAATACACTGTCGATTCGTTTTGGAGTGAATTGTATAATATAATACGCACAGAAAATTTTTCTTTCTCCTTGTTACCGTATTTCTTTTTCCTTATAAATTATTTATAAATACCTTGTCCAATTTTTGTTCGAGTATATCAACGTTTGCCTCTACTTCCTCGATGCAAGATCTGCAAAATACAAAAGGAAAATAAAGGAATTTTTGGGAATAATACTACATATCGTTTATTAATCAAACGCATGAATGCAATGGAACGCGTTGAATGATAACAATCGGAGCGGCGCGCGCACAAAACGAAACGGAGCAGAGCACGCTGAGCGAACGCAAACTGCGCGAACTAGGCGAAGATTTTATACGTGCAAGCGATTCTCACCGAAACTTTGGCGTGTCTCGCAAACATTCCTCGAACTCGATTAAAGGCTTCATTTTGTACTATCCGTTGCCCGGGAATTTTCAAGCGCAGTCTCGTCCGCCGAACTGCAATCTTGAAATTCTTCCGTTCACTATTTCCCATCAAACAGCACGATCATTTGGAAACACTATTTAACGCAGACCCCTTTCGCATTCGCAGAGGACAACAGTGTCCCCCTCTCTTCTGTCAAACGGAGTGCAGTTTGAAGTTATTCGAGTCACACGGGCCAGTGTTTGCCAGTGCTGGCAACATTGAGGAGTGAAAGAACGTCGAAATATACCACGTTGAGTTTTTCCTTTCAGCGGTCGTTCCGTGCGATATTTTATATTTTTCCGCGTCGTTCGTTTGCATCTGCCCTTTTATCTTTGCGAGACGATAGTTTGTCGAGGTTGCCATCTCAGGCGAATGTTCCATTTCCTTTTTCGCGTCGCGTTGCAAGATTGTATTTATGTATTATACACTTGCTCACTTCGGAAGGCACATTCAGTAGAAAAAGTCGTTCAGTATTTGTAAACATCACATTGTAAGTAAGTACGTTACATAACGAAAGCATGTTTCCTATCAATTATCTTGATCCAGAAATGGAATTCGAGTCCCGGTAATGTTACAACGCAAAGTGTACGAGAGTCGAGCCGTTTCTAACCTATTAGATCGTCTGGCTCGACTTCTAAGTCCGAACGAATTGTATCTTTACGAATAAATGTTCCATAAGTGTTTGGCTATAGTAATTTCCCTTGGAGATTTGTTCGGATTCACACGTTGCCTTCAGTTATTAACATATTGGTTTGTTTTATCGACTATTTTGTTTGTTCAACAGGTCCGTTATGACTGCCGGAACTAGCACAGAAAAGTCGGCTAGCAATCCTTTGGAGCAGTTTGTGCTACTGGCAAAAACTGCAAAAGGAGCAGCTGCCATAGAGCTCATTAAACAAGCGGTAGAGACACCAGGCGTACATGTATTTGGAGAGCTACTGGACATGCCCAATATCAAAGAGTTAGAGAACGGACCTTACGTTCAGTATTGGAATACTCTGAATTTATTTGCGTACGGCACGTATAAAGAATATTTAGAGAACAAAGACAAGGTCCTAGAATTGACCCAGACGCAAAAGAAAAAGCTCCAACATCTAACGATTGTAACGCTAGCAACAAAGTCCAGATGCATACCGTATTCTGTGTTGTTGGAAGAGTTAGATATAAAGAACGTTAGGGATTTAGAGGATTTAATAATAGAAGCTATTTACGCAGATATAATACATGGCAAATTGGATCAAAAGAATTCACAGTTAGAGGTAGATTATGCTGGTTTGGGCCGCGACGTTAGACCTGATGACACGGGTGTTGTAGCTGAGACGTTAGCTGCCTGGGGTCAGGCTTGTGATACGGTGTTAGCGTGTATCGAGGAACAAGTCACAAGAGCAAATGTAGAGAAACAAAAGGCAACTTATCACAAAGAAAGAATACAAAGAGATGTAAGTAACTTGAACTCTACTAGTAAACCACCAATATTTTGTACTAATAGACTTTTTCACTTTCTCGTTGTTAGATTGCAAACATAAAGAAATCGCTCGCTGCACAAGCTGGAGGTGGTGGTGTGCAGGAAGCTGACATGGCAGGAGGCAGTTCTGGGGGAAGCGAGTCAAGCAGGGAAGCATTGTCAGGTCCATCTGATGCTAAGAAAAAACAACAGAAGGTCAAAGGTATTAAAGGCAGTGGTAAGTTCTGGAAGACAATTCAGTAATCTTTTAATCATGTGAAATTTATTTCAATCAAAGACTTGATATATTACAATCAAGGATTGTAGTACATTACATGTAATCTGCATTGAAATCCTTGCAATCCTATGTAAACTGCGATAAACAATGATGGCCATTGCAATTGAGGAACGGAACTATGATTGATGAGAAAAAAGTTCATTGCCATATCGTGGCATATCACATGTATTCTAGAGGGATTGAAT